ATGCATTAGGTTAGTTGTAAACAATCACATTTCATCAAAAAGGTGAGGAAACCAACATTAATCAAGGTATTATTAGTTTGATTAAATGCCCTGAAACATAAACAATGGCAAAAAAAAAAAAGAACGCATTATTTGTGTGAAGAACCTCGTAATATAATCTGAGTTGCCCATCCTCATTAACCTTAGAGAAAGACCCTAAATACCCCAAAACATAAATAAAACCACCATGTTTCACATACATTTCCCCATCTCTTTCCACAGTTTCTGTCATATCCTGCTTTAAAATTAACTTTCCAACATTAAAATTTCAATATAAAGGCCAAATGTCAAAAAAAAAAAAAAAAAAAGGAAGTAACTGACTTGAATGTGCGGCCAGAACCTTGGGGGTTTCTGACATTATCGGTCTTAGTAGTCCGAATAACTTTGAGAGGCCGATCCACCGTTCCTACGATGCTGATATGGTTCCAACCGAGGCTGCACGCACTTCTACTGTCGTCGCTGCTGGAATTTAAGTGCGAGCCGGTAAATGGGGCTGCCTCCCTCGTCATCATCGACGAATGAATTCGAGAATCTAAGGTTTGAAGCAACGGATGAATGGAAATAGGTACGATTTCGCATGGAAAATTGGGACCTGTTTCGGAGGATTAGCGCCAAAATCAACATTGGCACCCAATCGGATACGAGTAAGACAAAGGCAATGAGCTGAGAGGCCGGAGTACTTTGGTCGCAATCCAACTCTCTAGCGATCAAGTCGAAATACATTTTCAAGATAACAATACAGTTTTTTATTCAACCATTGTAATTTAAAAATTTATTTCCCAAATAACTGTACTTTTAAACTTATTTATCAATATCTTGAACTTGTGCCAACTCATTGTTCTGTCATACATTTAAAAAAAAAAAAAAGTTCGATTCATTAGTCATTCAACTTACAATCATCATTCAATTTTTCAGCTATTACAGCAGGACATTGTTCTGTCATACTTAAACTCTATAATCACGTTCAAACCATGGTATCTATAACTTAATATAAAACCTGTCCCTCATTTGTATCGAAGGGATAGCTTAACAATATATATAAAAAAAAAATCAATGCGTAATTTTTGACATAAAAAAATTTCTCCAAGAGCTTCATTTGCTTTTATTCTCACAACTTCACCATTTCCATTTATTTAAACTCATCTCCTTAAAAATACCAACTCACGAACCCCATTTCAACATTACATAACTCATCAACCATGGCTGAGGCAGCATACAAACTCCATCCCATCATCAGCTTCACGTTCTTTTTGCTTTCAGTTTCTCTCTTTAACACATCACTTTCTCAACCCTAAACCCTGTCTCCAGCTCTAGCTCCAGTGCCAGCCTATTACTCATGCAACGGGAAAGAAAAAGGGAAAGAAAAGAAGGAAGACAATTCTTGATTCACCTCTCCTTAATGCTGCCTGTACAAGTTCGAATTTTAATCTCTCGCTCTCTCTCTTCTCTCTTCGCTTTTTTTTGGGTTTGGATTATTGAGTTTGGTTGTTGTTTTGAGTTTGTTTCAATGCTTCTTCATTGTTGTCACATAGGTTTAACTTTTTAAGGTAGTTAGCAAAACAACACTCCTTATAAGATCTAGAAGCTTTTTGAGAGAAAGATGGGTATTTATGGTTTCAACCTCTGTGACAAGAAGTTTTACTATTGATTACAGTGAAATACTAATTCTAATTGTGGGTATTTTTACTTTGATTTTGCTCTTAATTGAGCTAATTCAGTTATGAAAATAGTTTAATTTAATGGGTTTTTTCTTTTTAAATGGGCTTTTAATGTGTGTGCTGACTGCATTCAGAACCTCTTCAAACATTTGAGAATGATGTTCTGATTTTCTTATGGTTTTTTTATTTTTGGTGATGAATCATCTACATGGATTGCTTTCATCCATATCGTTAAACTTTCTGCTGAACCTTTTATGACCACAGTTATTAATTCATTATAGGAAAAAGAACATATTTAAGTTGGCACAAGTGAATACATAGCACCTGAGAAGGCTGAGAATGTATATGCAAAATGCAAATTTACTTCGCAGTCTTTTATATCCAATAAGGAAATAGATTATAAATTATTTGGTTGAACTTCACCAGTGTTTGTTACCTTGACTGCTTAATATGTTTATAGGTGATAGTTTGAAATCATCTTTGATAGCAATAGTTCCAGTGGAACCTAATGCGTTAAAAGATTGGGCTGCATCTAAGGGTATCCAGGTGTGTTTTTCTATTGCCCATAGCAAGTATTTTAACCGTTTTTTTTTCTTTGATTGTTTTAAATATTACATATGAAGCTTTGTTTAGATTTTTTTTTTTTTTTGTTTGCTACAATTAGTAGCGATAGTTGCAGTGGAACATGATGTGTTGAAAGGTTGGGCTACATCTAAGGGTAGCCAGGTGTATTTTTCTGTTGCCCATTGCAGGTATTTTTACTATTTTTATTTTTTTTTTCTTTGTTGTTTAAATGTTACATATGAAGCTGTCTAGATTTTTTTTTTTTTTGCTACAATGGCTACAGCCTATGAATAATTTCAAGATGGAGTCAAAGGATCAAGGGAAATGGGTTTTCTTCTTTATCTCTATAAATGGTTTTAAAGGTAATATTTAAGATCTTTATGCTTTAGAATAAACAACAAATCAAAAGTAAGTCATAAAGCAACCATAGCCAAGAAAAGTATTATACTTTAAAATATGACTGTTGAGATTTTATAATTTAGAACATGACTATTAAGATTTTTTAAAGATGTTCGAGAGGAGGATAGGACATGTTTGTTGATCTCCATCCTATCACCAATGCATCACTGTACACAGTGGTTGAGACCATGTCACTTGCCAAAGCTGCAGTTCTCTTTCATCAACTTTTTCTTCGACACATGTGCGTTGTACCAAAGAGTCAGGGCGTAAGTCTCTCTTATGGTTTATCGCGTGCATGTACGCTTGTTTATTTCAAAAAATACATTTAGTAAGAATGAAAGGTTTCTAACATGAAAAAATTTTGAACATAGGAAATTTGGAGCGTTAACTCCTAGAACTAATTACCCAAATTTATCTCTTACATTTGTAGAGATGTATGTAGGCAATTTCGTCTAACTATTCATTATCCATGTGCTGAATGTATAGGCCTCCAATTGTTGGAATTTCGACACGGCATGACTTCATGCCAGAGCATATTTTGGGACTATACCCCCACACCAAGCTTCAGAAATGATGATCGCTGAGTTTTGGTCTTGATCGGTGGATTGATGTTTCATGTTTGGTTCTTTGTAAGGTTAAGTTGGTATTTAGCCTCTTTGCTGGAAATGAAATCTTTAAAACTAGGTCCAACCTTTCTTGAAAGAAAAGTCATTGAGGCAGAGGACTATTAGTAATGGATGACACCATAAAGACATTGGTTGAAGAGCCATTTTGTGGATCATCTCTGGACAAACATATATTATTTTCATTTTTTCCTCGGCTTTGCAATAAACATGGTGTTGAGAGCAGCTTGCACCAAAACTAGGTTAGCTTGGATCACCAGGGCTCGCCAGGCCACCAATTTGGCTCGGCTGTCCTCACCAAAGTCAGGTGATTCAACTCCTTAAGTTGCTACCCTCATTCACCGCGGCAGACTTGCCAACGTTTGCGGTGGTACTACCCTCGCACACTTCTTTATAACCATGATAACAAAAATCATGTATTTCTTCCTTTTGAGCTAATTTCAATAAAAAAAAATAGAATTTAAAACTTTTTTTTGATGATTAGGTTGTGTTGCAAATCATTATGGACCTCTAAAAGTGAATTTTAGGGAAGATCCCATGAACCTATCTAAATGGAAAAAAAGAGCATGTAAGTGTTTTTTTTTTTTATATCTTTTTAATTGTTTAGTTGCTTATTTTTGAAAAACCCATTTCTTTGAAATGCTTAAATTTTCACTTTTTTTTTAATTGAATTAATATTTTCTGCTTGTTGCTGTTTGTGATTGTTTCTTTAACAGTTGGGGTTTACTCTTTATGAAGGTTGTAAGTATTTAACAAGAGGTAAGAAGGAAGAGAAAGAAGAAGAGATAATCAATTTTTTAAACTTTTTTTATTAATTGACTATTTATTTTGTTGGTTGTTATAGCATATAAATTCGTGAGTATATCGTTAAACATGATTTAAAGAGTCGTCATCAATTTTTTTTTTGAATTTATTTCATTTTAAAGAAAAGTTTTAAACTTAATTTAAGTTATTTTAAAAAGTAAATTCAAATCTATAAAATTAGAATTAGATTTGAAAGTATGATTATGTGTGAAAAAAATTATAACACTCTTACAATATCCATCGAAGGATAGTATCAGTTTGATTTCATGCTATCAAAAAGACTTAAAAAATTTTATCAAATAATTTAATATTAAAAATTATTCTCAAATTACTACAATATATTTGTAATAATTTAAAAACATGTTCTCATTTCAAAAATATTCAAAAAGATTATTTATCATGTTTTGAAGAGGTTTTGTTATCAGATTTATTAATATTTTTATAATTCAAAATTGATTTTCATAATAGCATTTTCTTTCATAAATATCTTTCAATATATTAGTAAAATTTTTTATCTTTTTCAATATATTGATAAAATTTTATAAAAATTATTTATTTTTTTAAACTTAATTTTTAAAATTTATAAAGTTATCTAATATGTTAGTAATACTTTATTTATCTAAAATCACAAGCTTTTTAATATGTTGATAAAGCTTTAGGTATTCCAATATATTGTTAAAATCTTATTTTGAAAATAAAATTAAAGGTCTCCGATATGTTAATATGTTGAGAAAGGTTTTATGCAAAATTCATTTTTTTTAAAACTTCCCAGATTAATAAATAATCCAATTACCATCTTTTTTTTCAGAAAAGTTTAAAAATACTATGATGGCTCCGTTGTTTTATATATTTATTTCGTATGTGATTCAACAATCCCAAAGTTTCTTTTTTTTTTCAAAAAAAAAAAATAATCTTTTTTTTTTCGTACTCTTTCATAACATAAATATTGTTAATAGCCTCTGGTAAGAAAAGAAAAAAAAGTTTGTGACGCCTGAGATGGGCCCACGATAGCTAAGATTAAATTGGAAATGCCCTTCTCTTATACTACTCTTTCGATACATAATTTAACTTTTTTTTTGAAAAAATATAAAAAATAAAAAAAAATTTCATATCAAATTAAGACCATCCATATTGATAGATAGAACTTCTATTTATTTGCTGAATAGACAGATCGACCGAAAAAATCATAACTATACTTAACAATAAAATATTGGGAAAAGCCCACATACGACGAAGATTTTTTGTTGCCGTCGGAAAAAGTAGGAGTCCCATTCCTATTAAAATAGGAATTGGAAGTGGCACAAAAGGTATGATCCAACTTTTTTGTAAGGTTTTTTTTTTTTAATTTATTTTATTTTTTAAAAAATTATTATTGTTATTATTTTTAAAAGAAAACCTTTTTATTAATAAATAAATTCACAAGAAAATAAACATGAACATAGGTTCAGCAACCGTCAAAGAAATGCAATGAAAAGCATCTTATGAAAGAGCATACTTCACGTTGCGGATTTAATGCGATAGCTTTACTGGGATTCTTCCCAAGAAAGACAGCAAGAGCAGCTAGCTGATTCCACATCCCCTTCTCCAGGAAGAGAGCGAGCAGCAGTCCCATTCCTTCTTATGGTAGTTGTATAGAAATTGTTGTTAATCCGTCTAATGAGTTACTAGGAATCACTCTGCCAAAGCAAAAATAAATAAATACATAAATAAAACATTTAAAAATTAAAAAAGAAAAAAAAAACCAAAATTTGAAAAATTCAGGTCACTAGGTCAACCGGTTCGATTCGGTTCGGGTGGTTCACTGGTTTAATCCGGTTTAGCTCATTTTTCTTTTAATCAAACGGCGCTGTTTTGGTGGGCCTATATAAAGGCAAAAGTCCAAAAAATTATATATTTTCCCTTACTCTTTTTCTCTCTACTCGCTCTTTCGCCAGAGCCTCTCTCTCCTCTGGGATTCCCGCCGCTGTTGGTCACGGTGCCGCCGCTGGTTGCCACACTCCACCATTGGCTGGAGTCTGATCAGGCCC